TAATTTGTATGACTCTACTCATATAGCTACTATCGCCGTTAATTTTTTTTAACTGAAAAGCTACATTTCCTACGTGAAAAAATCTAGAAAATCGAATGGTGCTGGTTTCATTCAGTGCCGGACCTGGGAACTGGATCATTTTACCTCATTTAACCTTCAATCTGGGGTTTTTATGATTCTACTCATGCTACAATCGTTGTATTTTGTAAGTGAAAGCACCATATTCTACGTAAAAAATCTGGTGAATCGAATGGTGTTTGTTTCATTCTGTGCAAGGCCCAGAATGGTCCATTTTGCCACATTTTACCCTAAATCTGGTGTTTTTATGATTCTACTCATATAGCTACAATCGCCGCTAAATTTGTTGACTGAAAAGCAGCAAATTCTACGTGGAAAATTATAGGGAGTCGAATGGTGCTGCTTTCATTCAGTGCCGGGCCCGGAAACTGGTTCATTTTGCCTCATTTAACACTAAATATGTGGTTTCTATGATATATAACTACAATCGCCGCTGAATTGTTTGACTAAACTGCAGCATATCCTACGTGGAGAATTCTAAGGAATCAAATGGTACTGGTTTCATTCAGTGCCGGACCCGGAAAGCTACCCTTTTTGCTCCATATTACCTCAAATTTATATATGACGATATATCCTGATACTACACCTAATGAAAAATCTCTTAATGTTTGATCGATGAACCTATCAAAGAGAAATTCAGAGGAGAGCTGCAAGGAAATATGAATAACAATATCAAGGAAACAGAATTCTTAATATAGTTCAAAAAATTGTTTGCAGAAGGATGTACTTTGCAAAAGCTAACTGTACCAATCGGGATTATACAATAGTTATCTAATTTTTGACAGAAACACTATTTATGGTTACAACTGTTGTTGCCTCTTGAATAGAAATAATTGGCAGAAAATTCAAGTTTAATTTTGAACTTTTTTTTCGAAGTTCAACAATTTTGAAAAATTGTTCTTCAAGCATAGTATTATAGGCCAATCCTTGAAGCTTCTACAAAGAGTTATTTTCTGGTCAAAATAGTGGAATTTTATTCGAGTTTCGCCACCTTGCCCCACTTTCCCCTACACTTATATATAATCAAAAAAGCATAAAAAGTATGCAAATTCCCGCTTCACCTTATTGAGCCCGAGCCATGATTACTTTGGCAGTTGTCATGCATAATTTATCTTATCAGTATTAAATTTGATTCTTTTAGAATATTAATATATAATCAAAAATGATTAAAATAGAATCAAAAATGATTAAAATGTATACAAACAAGATCACTTTCAATTCAATCTACCATGATTAAAATGGGTTTAATATCAAATGATTATTTTTTAGCAAGAAATAATTAATTTTGAATCATTCTATATGATTAAACTGAGTTTAATGTCAAATTGGTTAAATTTTAAGGAAAATGAGAAAAGTTTAATTTATCAGCCAAAGGCATCAGTTTGTCTTGTTTTTAATTCCAAGATCTTGAAAATTGTTAAACGCCTCTTTGCTGTTTTTCGATGCCACAGGTCTAAAAAAAAACTAATACCATTATTAGATTGCGATTCTCAAGTCGCAATAATATAATAATTTAAAAATATAAGTAATATAAATCAAAATCATAAAAGTTCTCCATGTCTCTAAATCTATCTATCTATCTATCTATCTTCTATCTATATATATAAAAGTGGAAGTATGTTTGTATGTTTGTATGTATGTTCCAGCATAGCTCTGGAAGCATGGACCGATTTCTACCAAACTTGGCATACGTATTCCTCACTTTAAGATGATGGTTATAGGGTGATTGGGAAGACGGGGGGTCCGAAGATTAAGCCGAGGGTCCTATCAAAAGTATAGCGTGCTTCGATTTTTTTTTGCATTTTTGGTACCTTTACACCACATGTAAAATGTTACAAGACATGAAAAATGTTGCACGACACGAAAAATGTTGCACGACATAAAAATGTTGCACGACATAAAAATGTTGCACGACATGCAAATTGTTGCGCGACACGAAAAATGCTGCACGACATGAAAAATGTTGCGAGTATGAAATATTTTGAACGACCTGAAAAATGTTGCATGACATGAAAAATGTTGCACTACATGAAAAATGTTGCACGACAAGAAAAATGTTGCACGACATGGAAAATGTTGCATGACATGAAAAATGTTGCACGAAACGACTTATTTCGCGTAAAATAATAAAAACTCGGTTGCTCGGAATGAAAAATATTGCTCAACATGTAAAATGTCACATGACACGAAAAACGTTGTATGACATGGAAAATGTTGCACGACACAATAAATGTTGCGTAAAATGAAAAATTTTGCACGACACGAAAAAGTTGCACACCACCAATAATATACCGTGAAAAATGCACTGAAAATATGTTGAACGATTGAAAAATATGCGACTTTTTTTATCTATAGGGGACGGTAGTTTTATTGTGACCCTCCAAAAGGTAGAGGCCATAAAGGTGCTAAGTTTAAAGTTGTACTCTATAGAGGAGTTTTCTATGTTTCACTTTGAAGCGAAACAGATTAATTTTTTTTCATCATTTATTTATTTATGTCGGAAAGAAAATGTCCTTTCTCAAATCCAAATACAAGATGCTGGAATGAATTTAAAAATCGGCGGTCATGTGACGTCAAAAGCGCCCCTGAATCCATGCCATTTGATAATCTATCATTGGCAGATGGAGACATTCCGTTATCCAAAATATTTCAAATACCCTACAATCTGGGTATTTTCGGAAAGGAGGTGACGTGTACAGGCCAGAAATCGATTTAAATTTAAATCTAGAGAGGTTTCACTCAGTCTTTTAGTATAGCCCTAGGTTAATGATACTTCTCTCGATTTTCCTCATATTCGAAAAGTAAACGGTATTCTCTGTTGGGTTAAATGGGTTAAAGAGACGGGCATGCGTTTATTAAAAGCCTCTCTTTAAAGCTTCTTTTTTCTAATAATCCTTGAAAAATGCTCTTCTACTGCGTAGTCCTCAGATTTACTGTCCTGCGCGTGTTTTTTTTTAGTCAGAGGAGCGTAGCGACGGGCATGCATTTACTAAAAGCATTTTAAGAAGAATATTATCTTCACTATCATTTGAGAAACGCTTTTTTACTGGGTAGCCCTCAGATTTACTGTTATGCCCGTGTTTTTTTTTAGTCAGAGGAGCGTAGCGACAGATATGCATTTACTATAAGCTTCTTTCCTCCATTAACCTTTGAAAAACGTTTGTCTACTGCTTTGCTCTCTGATTTATTGTCCTTCCCGTGTTTTTTTAGTCAGAGAAGTATAGCAACGAACATTCGTTTACTAAAAGGTACTTAAAGCTTCGGTCTTCGATGTACGTTAATTCGCTGTTTTTGCAGGTTTTTAGCATTTAGCTATTCGTACTTTTCAGCTTTTTGTGCTGTTCAGGCTTCTGTGCTGTTCAGCTTTTCTTGATTCAGCGAGAGATCCTTCTTCGATTTGATGTGTTCATTTTTGTTCTATTTACGTCAAATAAATCGGCTGCTCTTTTATTCACCGTGAAGATGATTTTCCTCAGCTCAGTCCACCGAGCAAATTTTAAATTGAGTACTACAAGATGACGTCACGCATAAAGTCTTTGACAGTTCAGTGGTAAAATTCACCGGACTTAGAATTTTTTTCGAAAAAATATTTTTGATGTTTCGAGTTTTCATTTAAAAAATAACGAGGAAATAGGCGATGAAAAGAAAAATTATTGAAAAAATCCACTCAACAAAATATCGGCTAAGTCTATGTAAACAGTACCACCAAACTGTCAAAATTTGAGGTTAGCAGCCGACGGTGCAGTACCTAATAACATGAAACACTTGAGTATCCGTCGATAATTTTGAAATCACGTATAGGTAAGGACATAGACACGGTTCAGTTGTGTTGGGGGCCGTTCACGTATAACGTAACGTGAAATATTTCATTTTCCATACAAAATGAAATGTTTCACCATACAAAATGAAATATTTCGCGTTACGTAATATTTGAACGGGTCCTTGTGTGTGAACCCGATAATTAGCTTATTTGATATTTGATGCGTTTGCTTATAGAGAACTAATAACAGCAAGATTAGTAATAACAGCAAGCTACAAAAGATACTAGAAACATGTTAATTTATTGATTCCTTTACAATTAACAAAGATGATAAAGTCTCGCAGTTGCTAATTAATTTAACTAGCATGATTCGTATTGCTTGCGACTAAGAGGATAGGATTTTTTTTAGTCAGAACATGAACTTAAGGAAATATGGAATCCCGAGCAAAGCCGGGTACACTCAGCTAGTAATAAATATTTTCTTAGTTCCCCGGTAATTTTTTTGAGCCCGGAATATTAAATATTTTCTCAGTCCAAGTCTATCACAAAGCAAACAAGTTTACAATTTTCCTGTTAAAGAACACCAAGTTGAGAGCCGGCGAAAAAAGTTCCAGCGGGGTCGCAATAAAGCCAAAGAAGATTTTTGCTGAGATCTCAGTAAAATTTGTTGCCAGGCATTCACAAATCTCGGAAAACAATTTATCGAGATCAGATGAAATAAAGCAAACTTTGTTCGACACCACCATGAAGAAAACCTATTCAGGAGAATGCAGTGATAGTTCTCCATAATCACGCAATACCGCTATAGAAAAAGATTGCACCAAGAGATTGCTTTGCATGCAACATTTCAACCACCACACGAGGATCCAAAATCGGTTATCGAAAAGTGCTGCTTTGCATCGCTTTGCCAAACATGCAAACGCAATTGCTTTTCATCCCACGTACCTCGAACACACATCTAACGAACACGACCAGGCAAAAGTTAAGCTGGATCAATATTTGTCCAATAATTTCGTTCCGTCTGTTTCATTTGTTATTTCAATATCTTTTTATCTGTCTCGAATGGTGTTGGGTGGGTCGCAAAATCCCACACACAAACTCTGCCCCCGTCGTCAGCGCGTCGTCGTCGTCGTCATCAAGCGGGATAGACATAGACACTTACCTTTCTAATGCAATGGAAATTCTTCCACTGGAAGCCACTTCTTTAGCGTACAACACCATCAGCGCTTCTATCACAGTCATGTGGGCATTCTGCAACACGAAAGAAGAGACGGAAATCATGCTTCAATAAAACGGTCACATTCCGTTGGGCTGTGAATCTAGGTCTGGTTCTTTTTCTCTCTCCCTCTCTCACTTGGATTCGTTCGTGCGCGAAACACAAAACGAATGGCAAGGTCAAGTTCAAGGACGGCCAAAAAAGCATACTCACAATTCTAAGAGGATTCGTTTGAATCAGAACGGTCTCGGTGAGGGGCAGGTCCGGAGATTCGTTCAGTAGCACACCCTTGCGGGACAGCGTCTGCAGGATCGACCAGTGGTTCAGGCTCTGGTAGTTCGGATCGGAGTAGATGTTGCTCAGCACCTGGCAGTAAATGGAAGCATTGCCGAGTCCGACGACGATCTGTGGCTTCAGGTGGTCCAGACCTTCGTGGTCCCGATAAAATGGGTCCTTGAGCATCTCTGGAACACGGTTGTTGTACGCCTTCGTCAGGAGCCACTTGACCGAGGCACGCTGTTTGGCCTGCAATGGGGAAATAGAATGAAAAGAAAGCAGAGTTAGAACCGAGGTCGGATGGCTCTGTGGTATCGTTTATGTTGGGGTATGATAAATTGATTTCCATCATCGTGACATAATCGCCTTTGCTTGCTATTAACCGCGCCTGATGGGTGCTGTTGGGGGAGCATGTTGAGTAAGGGTAGCAGCGAGACCGGTAAAGTACTGAGACTCAAGGGCTGAACGGTTGACAATGGCGACGATGATGTGACACACGTAGCGCGTTTAACATTGTTTGTGGCAAAGCACCACAGACAACACGTCATCATCGGTGGAGAAAAGTGTGACAAGGCTATTAGTATTTTTCCTTGGTTTAGTTATGTTTGAGTATGCTCTGAATGTCATCTGTTGACAGGGTGATAGTTTTATGGTAGGTACTGAGAATACGTTGTAGTACGAGAGTACATTTTCCATCGGCAAAACATACATTGTTTCCTGTATACTTTGGTGCAGGGCGTAAGTGCGGGTCATGAATCAGAAGCAAGTTTCATTTTCAACGCAAGAATAGATTTTCAGTTTACAAAAAATCCATCATCTGAAATCGTCGGATAGAATAAATGTTTCTTCAACAAAGTAGTTTGAAATCATCTCCGCTACAAGTTTTTTTTTTCAAAAATGAAAAAAGTTAGTTTTATAATTTGACGACAACCCTAATTAAAAAAAAAACAGCCAAAAGAAGGTTAAAGCTGAAAAAGTTTACACTGCACCTCTTAAGCTTAACATAAATGCACTAGGACTTTTTTCCTGCTAAATACTCATCCTGGACCACTGTGCATTGTTTGCACCGGGTTCGAGACTTTTCTCAAAGATATCTGGCATCTCTGCTTAGGGATAGGTTTGAAAGTCTTAATTTTTGTTGATCAAATGCAGTAGATCAACATCACTGGTCTTATGAGTTAAGTTCAGAGGCCTTAGGGGTTAGTCAATAGGCAACATTGGCCAATTTCAAACGTTTTAAGAGTAAAACTCAGCGATAGGGGAAATGGCTCTAATGTTGACCTATGGATCTAAGATTGGGCCCATCGCTAAAAATCTGCTATTTATCATTTAGATGAGCGTCATTGGTACGAAACTAATGGATATTTTTGATCTATATTGAAAATTTAGTCTATTGCTGAATTTATGTATGGGCCCAAATTAGGGGCATTTAGGCCTACATTACATTCATTTTCCTTATTATACGTCAGTTCCGGAAGAATAAGTCTAGAGCCTTTATAAGTCACATCCAGAGGCGTTATGTTTCCCAATTAACAACTGTGGAAGTTGAGTGTCATAAATAGTAGCAAAAAACACGTTTTTCAAAATGGCCACAAAAGTTAAAACACACTTTTATGTGGATAGATAATTACACGCGATCTTTAGCCATACATACGAAGTGTATTGTGATCAGAACCAACATACACGTTACATTCACATATTTTAAGATATTTTAAACAAGTTTATATTTTGGCCCAATGTCACCCCACATAAGGTTTTACATTGCAGGGCTGTCAAAAATAGTGATTTTAGTCACCATGTTGAATAAATAAGTGACCACATAGTTGTTAAACTAACGACTGAAAAGTGACATAAGAGAAGAATAGCAGTCGTTATGATGGCACACAAAAGCTATAATACTTCAAGACATTTTCAAGATTCTAGAGTCAAATTACATGCACAGTCTTAAAGGCTCGTGGAATTTTATTATTATTTCTAAGGACCTCATTCCAAGGGAGTTCTGGGAAAAAAATCTTTCAGAAAAACATAAAATGCTATCTGCTTTCAAGGTAGTTCTGAGGCATTTTAGATTTCATGTGAAGCCTGATAGTTTTGAGTAGAATTTCAAGAAACCCTGAATTGAATTAACGATAAATTTTAATGAAAACTCTTAGGAATATCTGAGGAGCACAACTCCTGTGAACTTCAGAGAAAAATTCCAAGGGTATTCTGAGGATAATTTCATAACGTTTTTGGTAGGAAACGAATCCATAATTTGTTTAAAAATATTGAAAGGAGGATTACATTTTTTTTTATTATGGTCACTTTAACACTCTTGGGTGAGATTTGAACTCGTGACTTTGGCGTGAGAGGTATGGATGTTAACCACTACGCCGGGGTCGCCCCGATTACAATTAAATCTGAGAATAACTCCAGGACATCTTCAAAGAAATTCTGGAAATAAATTCAGGAGAGTTTGCCAAACAAATGATGAGAAGAAATCGAAGGAATGATGAGACAACAACCGAATAATGAGATATGCCAAGGAATTGTTAGGATACTTTCAATGTGAGTAGAATGCCAAAGGAAGGAGTGAGATTCAAAAGGAAATCGGAAATGAATTCAATGAATATTCAGAGAATCTTTCCAAAGGGTTCATATTGTGGAGAATTTCAAGGTAATTCCGAGGAAAACTATAAAAAAATAATTCGGAGGACAGCTTTATCGAAATTTTGAGGAGTATTTCAATGGAAATATCCGTTGAATATGGAATGGACTATTCTGAGGTCTTTAGAACTACTTGAAAGTTCCCAAATTTTTCTTGAAGATAATGAAACTGCCTTGAAGTTCTTTTGTTGTTTGAGAAACTAGCCTGATGCTCACCATACTTCTCATCAAATTCTCAAACTTCCCTGAACTTTATAGGAATTCCTAAAGTTTCCTCATTTTTTCGAACGATCAGGGATCTCTTATAAAGGTTTTACAATTCGCTGAAGTTTTCTAAACTTCTTTAAAATGTATGTAACTTCTCTTATGTTAACGGAACTGCTTTGAGGTTCTGTATTCTTTTCTGAAATTCTCAAAACTTCTCTAAAGTTTTTGCATTTCTCATGCAGCTTATTGTACTGCACTTAATTTAATTGAACCGTCCTAAAACTTATGAAGACCTCAATTGGGTTCTTTAAGGGTATTGAGGTAAATGCATATTCGTAATCTTCATTAAAAATGCAACCCAAACCCAAAATTTCATCAACTTTGGTACACTGGAACTATTTTAAATAAGTACGATTACATTTGCAAAAATCACCTTATTAGCGCCCCTCGGTGTCACTTTGTATGGGAGCGAGCTGTCAGTTTGTCAGTTTAGTGTCAAACAGTGAAGTTATTATTTTGCTTTAAATCTTGATTTAAAAATCGAGATGAAAGTGTGTGGGTTTGAAAAAAATATGAAAACGAAGCTCTTTCAGATGATACATAAAACCTATATATTTTTCAAAATCAAAGAACCCAATTAGCTTTTAACGTTTCTGAAGTTATCTGAACATCTGGGAACTGCTTTAAATTTCCCACTAATTCTATGAAACTAAATCTCCCCCTGAAATTTCTTCAATTTTTAGAAGCTCCCGAATTTTGCTAATGTTCATAAAAAATTTTTGCGGATCTACTCTCCTCGAAATGTTTCTGAAGACCACTGTCCTTCTGTAAAGTTTTCGAAGATTTCTGGAACTTTTGTGCTCCCGTTCTCTAAATTTGTTTAATAATCCGGCAAATTTTCTGATATATATTTATAATTCCTTGACGCTTCTGACGTTTTCGGATTAATCATAGAATTTTTGGAATACCCCATAATTCCACGGAACTCCTTGTAAGTCGCTGCAAATTTTCTTAAGTTCATGGGATTATTCTGAAGCTATCTGATCGTCCTTGAAATACTCGGAACTTCGCTGAATATCATGAAACTATCTAAAAGTGTCTAAATTTATAATAAGTTCTCAGGAATTGCTAGTAGATATCACTGATTGCTAAAAGTTCTCACTTTTTTTTTAATTAATGGAACTTCGTTGATTTTCTCTAATCAATTCAACTAAATTTTCACATTTTTTTAAGTTCTTGAAATCTCCATAGTATAACACCCTTAAAATACTCTCACGTTTTCCGGATGTTCATATAATTTTTATCACGTTCCAGAAATTCTCTCGGAGCTTTGCTGAAGTTTCCGGAAATTCTCTGAGTTTCTCGAAACTTCTTTACGGTTTTTACAATTTTTTGAAATTATTTGAACAACCCTTTGATTATCTTATCTTTCTGGATGTTCTCTAAGCTCCCCTAAAGCTCTCAATTCTATTGAAGATCTCGGTTCTGATCGGCAAAAAATGTAATTCTTGTGAACAACTTTAAATTTCCCTGAAATTCTCAAGAGTGAAGTTCCTGAAATATGTCTGAAGTTTCAAAAATTCTCTGAAGGTTTCTGTACTTCCCGGAAATTCTCGGGACATCTTAAGGGTTCTCGATTTTTTTTCAGCACATCATGGAACAATCCTGAATTTTTTTTAATTTACGATTATACACCTTTAAACTGCTCCAAAAGTCTGGACTAAAGTTACGTTTACTGCTCTTAAGTTCTGAAATTTCCCAAAGATCTCTAGATCTAGCTTTTGTGAGGTACATAGAACCTCTTAAAAACAATACCCTTCAAGTTTTCTATATTTTCAGATTTGCTTGACACTTGTGAAGTTCTCTGACATTCTAGAAACTTCATAAAAGTTCCAGAAATTTTTAGGATGCTAGAAGAACAGCTTTAAGGTTCTTAAAGCTTCCAGTAAGTTCCCCACATTTTCAGCGTGTTAACTTCCCTTATGTCCCCTCCATAAACAAGAGCTTCACTGAAATTCTCAGCATTTCCTTTCATTCCTCAGAACTTCTCCAAAGTTCCTACAATTGTTGAGAAGTTAATGGGACTGCAATGAAATCTCTAATCTTTTATAAAGTTAATTACGAACATGAAATAAATCTTTTTTTCCCTTAATTCTGGCACTTTGATTTTTTTACATGGAATATGAAACTTCAAGACATAGAATATTTTTAGATCTTGGACTTACTCAAATTAAGTAAGTGTTTTTACTTTATTAAAGTGAGAAATTAAGTAAGTGTTAAACTTCAACATTCAATGGATTTGATTGTAAAGCTGTTTCTTTAACTGATTGCCATGTCTTAAAAACGTTTGAGTGACTAGCTTGAAAAAAGTGACCAAGTCACTAAAAAGTGATTCG